GGGGGGCAGTGCAGAAGGAGAAAGGAAGAAGGAGGAGGAGGCGGGCCCTGACCTAACACACAGCCTTCTGCAGGATCCCCCTGACGAAAATGAAGACTATCCGTGAGACCATGAAGGAAAAGGGTGTGCTCAAAGATTTTCTGAAAACCCACAAGTATGACCCCGGCCAGAAGTACCGCTTTGGCAACTTTGGTGACTTCAGTGTACTCTACGAGCCCATAGCCTACATGGACGTAAGTCTTAACACTCCCCCCCACCCCCGCCACAGAGCTGAGGGCTCTGTCTTCCCACCCTGGAGTGCACACTCTTCCTCCAGTCTGCTATGGCGACTGTGTGAAGAGCCTGGAGAGGAGTCCTTACCGACCTTGCACCCGAGCCCCCGAGAGCTTGGTGACTGCCCTGGGTAGCATAGACGGAGCATCCTTGGCCTTCGGGCAGGTTTCCAGGGAAGACTAGGACCACCAGCTTTGGAGTCTGGAGGGCAGCAGCTGGGTCCTTTCCTGCTTACCTTTGGAGTTGAGGAGCCTCTGGATCCCTCAGAGCTACACTGTCTACCTCACGACACGCCCCTCTCCCCCACCAGGCAGCCTACTTTGGCGAGATCAGCATCGGGACTCCACCCCAGAACTTCCTGGTCCTTTTCGACACTGGCTCCTCCAACCTGTGGGTGCCTTCTGTCTACTGCCAGAGCGAGGCCTGCAGTGAGTGCTGGATGGGCAGCGAAGGGGACAGGCACCTCCCTAGGGACTCGGGGGAAATTCACTCCTGGAGAAGATGGCGATGTTATGCAGGCCCATGACCTATCCAAGCCTCGTCAAAGAGGCTGGCCCTGCAGCTGGGCGGAAAGCTGGCTGGTTCATCTCTGCCAGCCTGCCTCACCTACTCCCTGCCATCCCACCCATCCCGATGACCAGGACAATGCCACCCCTTTCTTATGGGTAGTCTCCAGTCTGTTTCACAGCAGTCGGTTCTGCCTTCTGCTCAGCCCACCTGACCTCACTACACACCAAGTTCGCATCAAGTGTGTCTAGAGGATGAGCGGGCTGGAACAATCCTGGATGTGGTCTTGTCCTGCTGTAGTTTGGGCAGGCAGATGGAATTTGGGCAGGCATTTTGCAGTACTGTTTTGGTCCCTGTCAGAGCCTTGGGATCTATTATCTCTGGTCCAAGGAGTCTCTCTTTGGTTATATCTCATGCTACCCCTGGATCTTGGTATGACCAACTTCTTGCAGGGGTGGAGGCTGTGGGATGAGAGCATGCTTAGAGGCCCATTCACTCCTAAGGTAGATGAACAGTCAGTCTGCAATAGGGTTTTTCCGGGACCCAGGACATAGAGGGAAAGTCTAGCCCACCCTGCCTAGAGAGACCATAGTTCCAGAGCTTACCCTCTAAGTCACTGGGGCCTTCCAGGGTGTGGTCCCTCCTTGACTTGCCGTTGTGAGTAGGGGATGCTGACACCCCAGGTTTAAGCACAGGCTGAGGAGGAAGCCCTCCACTCGGTAGTCTGACCTCCACGTCCTCTTCTCCGCCGCAGCCACACACCCCCGCTACAACCCCAGCGAATCCTCCACCTACTACACCGAAGGCCAGACCTTCTCCCTGCAGTACGGCACCGGCAGCCTCACCGGCTTCTTCGGCTACGACACCCTGACTGTGAGTGAGGTTCCTATTCCTGGATGGGGGTGGGAGGAAGGTGGGGGCCTTAAACAAAGCCCCTGAAACGTGATGGAAAAGCTGTTCATAGGATGGGAAGTCAGCACAGACCTGGTCCATTCACAGTGCTGACACGGATGGCCATTCTGTGTTAGGAGCTGGGGGAGCCACGGTGAACCCTTCGGTTGTGGCCGTCTTCCTTCAGGAACATGGATAGCTCTTCAGAGGAGAGAGGGGTGGGTCCGGGACAATGCAGTGGTCGTACTTATGCTTGGGAGAGAAGACGGCCCCTGTTACACTGAGGAAAGGGGGGCGGGGAGTTGAGGCGAGGAGAGATGAGCAAGCGACCCGGGGGATGGAGGTCGGTCCAGGTGGCCGCGTCACTATCGCTCTGTTTTAACCTCCACTCCAGCTCCAAGGCATTCAGGTCCCCAACCAGGAGTTTGGCCTCAGTGAGACCGAGCCCGGGACCAATTTTGTCTACGCACAATTCGATGGCATCATGGGCCTGGCCTACCCCAGCCTGTCTGCAGGGGGCGCCACCACCGCCCTGCAGGGCTTGTTGCAGGAGGGCGCTCTCTCCCAGCCCCTCTTCGGTGTCTACCTCGGCAGGTAAGCAACTGCCCAGCAGTCTCTCTGTCCTTCCACTACCCAAACTTCCAAAGTTTGAGGGCTGGAGGCTGCAGCCGCACCCGGCCCAGAGCCTTCCTCTCCAGCTCCGGAATTCTGCACTCCCATCCCATATCTGTTTCCTGTCCACTCCTTTTTTTTTTTCCCAACATGTATTTATTTGTGTTAGAGCAGAGGTCGGGACACCCGCCACAGTGAGCTTGCAGAGGTCAGAGGACACCTGGCAGGAGCCAGTTCTCTCCCGTCACCGTGTGGGTCCCAGGGATGGAACTCAGCTTGCCAGGCTTGGCCACAAGCACCTTTCCTTGCTGAGCCATGCTGCCAGCCCATGCAGTTGTCCTTTGTGTTCCTTGGCTGGGACAAGCTCAGCTCTGGGAGGGGCCTTCACTCCAGCACTTCCTGGGTCTGCCTCCCGTGCCCCCCCACTGAGGTCCTCTCCAGCTGAGACTTTCCACTCCGTATCTCTCTTGTATGGTAATCTCCTGCTTCATCTCCTTTGATCTGTTGTTCCAACTGGTGCTGGAGTCTTTGGGGCTTGGCCCAGGACTGACTTCTAACCCGGTGTTATCCTTTGAGCAAATACGAGCAGGCACCGCCTGGGCCTCATGCTTCTCTCTCTTTTTCTTCAGAGTCAGCCACCTTCTAGAGTGTCCATACACTCACTGTAGCTTAGGGCCTCAATCCGACATTGGCCCCTTCCCTGTCATCAACTCTGCTGACTTGTTTTTTGCTTCTGTTTACAATCATTTCTGCATGCCACCTCTGGGCACCCCACCCATGCCCGCACGCTGCTGCTTACCAGGAGCACTGCTGGGACAATGTGCCAAGTCTTTCCTCCTCCTCCGTCATCAAATCTCCACTTCTCCACTCCGGGAGAAAAGTCAACCAGCTGGGCTTTCACGGACTCCTGGTGGTGGGCTCTGCCCACTGGCATGGCGTAAAGGCAGAAGACTGTAGTAGCATGTGGGGCCCACCAAGTAGCTGCCCCTCCAGAGGGGCTGGGACTCCATGGGACAGCATGACTCCAGGGTCTGAACCCATCTGAGGGGAACACAGGTTGTCCTCAGGAAGCCCCAGTCTGAGGGAGACAGAGCCCATCTGCAGGGAGCCCCGGTCTGAGGGAGACCTAGCCTGTCCTCAGGAAGCCTCGGTGTGAAGTGAGGTCCGGAGCTTTTCTCTGAAGATGGCTAACTCACCACAGGAAGACTTTTGCTGTTCAATCCTTATCCTTCCTTTTGTCTTCTACAGCCAGCAGGGATCTAATGGTGGACAGATTGTTTTCGGAGGTGTGGATGAGAACCTGTACACTGGAGAGATCACCTGGATTCCTGTCATCCAGGAGCTCTACTGGAAGATTAGCATTGACGAGTGAGTCTGTGGTGGGACCTTGGGGAGTGTAGCCTTCTCTGCCGGCACCTCAGGACACTATAAACCATCCACCCATCCAGGCACTGCTGGTGGGGATGCGTGGGAGAGGACCTTTGAGATACTCCCTCCCCCAAAGTCACAGCGGACCTGCGCAGGAGCATCAAAGCCCAGCTAAATCTGGAGAGGAGGGGTTGGAGGCCGCACCAGGAGGGGCAGCACATAAAATCTCAAACATGAGGTCCCCTGTGGTCCAACGCCACAGGATAGAAACTGAGTGTGTCAAAGTCCTTGTAACAACTAGCGGCTCTGATGTTCAGTGTGTCCACAGACATCCTCGAAAATTTGGGCATAGGTTCCATGGCCATTCAGATGGCTTTGGATAGACTCTAGGGTGCTATGAAGTGGGGTCCCCTTACCTTCCTCAAGAACAGCTTGTCTCTGCATGAAGCTCCCTGTGTCACTGTGGTGGGAAGCCCCCTCTGACTACCTGAGCAGGTAGGGACTGAGGTTGCTGTCTTCTTACCATCCAGATTCATCATTGGTGGCGAGGCCTCTGGCTGGTGCTCTGATGGCTGCCAAGGCATTGTGGACACAGGCACCTCTCTGCTCACCATGCCCCCCCAGTACCTGAGTGACCTTCTGCAGACCATCGGAGCCCAGGAAGGAGAGTACGGAGAGGTGAGTGGGACAAGAAGGGTCCCCCTTCCTCAGGGAAGGCCATCCTGTGGCGGGGCAGGAGTGTGTGTTACAGTTTCTCTTTGGGAACACAAGGCTAGCTGAATTCTTGGCCTCCAGGCTTTTAGCTACTGAGGGCACTGGGGGAGGCAGGTAGTGGCTCTGGCCGAGTGGAGACCTGGATGAGGGAGTGTGGCAAAGCAAGAATCTCTTCCGAACTGAAGTCGCCTTGGAATATGGATTCAGCACTGGCCTTTAGGATGGGGGTAAAATGACTGACTAGAAGTCAGGGCCAAGCAAATGAGTGGCAAGGGGCAGCTCTGTGACCCACACATCCTTCACCTCCACAGAGCCATGATCTCTCCTGCTCCTCTCCCTCCCAAGGTCAGCAGAGAGTTTGCCTACTGAACCGATTTGCACTAATTTTGGAGGGTACTGATTGGCTACATGGTCCACTGAGCTGTATGTTAAAGGGCCACTTGCTGAGGAAGGGCGACAATTCACTCTCTCTCTCTTGGGCTGGAAATTCAGTCAGGAGCAAAGCTTCAGCGTAGTGGGCTCCTCAGGGTTCCTCGAACCCCTCCCCGTCTATGCCGATGCTACTGAGGGCTAACAGAATGTAAGTCAGGGTTCCCTTGGAGCTGTGTCCCCGCCCCATCCAAAGCAGACTGGGGTACGGACCTAGGGTGTAGGGTGCTGAGGTGGCAGGCGTGGTGGGCACTGTTCTAAGGATGTGTTGGCCTGGGCCGTGTTCCTCTCTGCAGTATTTTGTGAGCTGTGACAGCGTCAGCAGCCTGCCTACCCTCAGCTTTGTCCTCAACGGTGTCCAGTTCCCTCTGTCACCCTCTTCCTACATCCTGCAGGTAAGGCCTAGTTTCTGTGGGCAGAGCCTCCGGGATTTAGAGTGGGTCCAGAAAAGCTAGGGTAAGGTTCGAATCCACGCTGGTCAGTTGTCAGGGCTTAACTGCCAGGCTGACCTACCGCAGACCGGGAGCAGGGTGAGGGCCGGCTGTGGAGGAAGAGCATCACAACCTGAAGTCAGCTCCTGGGGAGACACCACCTCTCTCCCCAAGCCCGGCAGCCCTTGCCATGGAGGGTCAGCTGTCCTACAAAAGCCCTTTACAGCCTTTGTATCACTCAGGGGCTGAAGTTCAGTCCACCCATGAGCGAGTGAGTGAATGCTCTCTCTCTGTTGAACAGGAGAATGGCTACTGCATGGTGGGCCTTGAGTCCTCCTATCTGACCTCTGAGGATGGCCAGCCCATCTGGATCCTCGGGGATGTCTTCCTCAGGTCTTACTACGCCATCTTCGACATGGGCAATAACAGGGTGGGCCTCGCCACTGCCGTCTAGACTTGCCATCTGGACACCCCGGGCCTTTTCCCCTCTCAGCCTTCCCCCCGCTTGTGAGGGGTACCCTACCCTCTGTCCTTGCTCTCCACATCCAGTCTCCCCTTCCTGTACCTTAGACTTTCTCTAATAATAAATACTTCTCCCCATTGACCAGCCTGTTGGTTCATTAGTGTGTCGGGTGTGTGGGGTGGGGGAGCTGGGCAGAGTTGTAACCTGTCAGATTCCTGGGTCTTGGGGAACTGTGGGAGCCAGGGCAAGTTCCACTTTGACCTCAGTGGCCACAAGGTTCCTCCGAGGGTCATTGAGATGCTAAGTGAAGAAGTTTGAAGCCAGGCTTGGAGGCAGGCTGTACCCTCCAGGGCCTCTTCACAGATTCCCTTTGAAGGATAAGACTGGTGGTGGGAGCAGGCTTGTACATGATGGGCAAATGGAAAAGGCTCTGTGGAACCACTTCCCAGATTTCCCCACTGACCTCAAGGCACAGGAATGTCCACTAGCAACATGTCCGAGGACTGACATGATACAGAGCTAAGGGTTTGTCTCTTCAGCTTTGAATCGATTTTGACTAGGATTTTCTGAAGGATGTTGCACCCATGTTCATTTCTAAGAGTTGTGGGTCCTTGAGGAAGCAATGCTTATTTCTAGGAAGGCTGCAGAAGGTTGATGCTGAGTTAGGGTGACTATACTTTTACCCAGTCTCCTAAATCCCAGGACTGGGGTTTGAAGGAGGAGGAGGAGGGTCAGCTCTTTCCCTGACAGCTCAGTGAGAGGTCTGTTGCTCTAGACTTCACTCTTGCACTTCCCTTAGAGAGCCCCAGAAAGGTGGGGTCACATGATGGGGGGAGGAGCAGAAAGAGAAGAAGAGGAAGAAAATAAAGGGTAAGGTGGAGGGAGAGGGGGAAGGCGGGGAAGAAGAGGGCAGGGGGTGTGGAGAAAAGGACGTGTCAGGAGAAGAGGTAAGGGAAAAGAAAAAAGGAAAGAATGCTATCTTAGTGCCCTTAGCTTCTAGTCTGAGGGAGAAACAGGAAAGGAGACCGGAAACTGGGCAGTAAAATGGTGGTGGTGATACCGTTCCAACTGCCTCTTCTATGGGCAGGGACACGGGCAAGATCCAGGTCATGCACCCCATTCCAACCTGAGACAGGATGGATGGGGACGTGGCAGAACTTGGGAGGAAAAGGAGTCCCCCTCATGCTGCAGTCTGGATGAGGTCTCCTGTCAGCTGAGGACCACGACTTCTA